CGGTGCTTACAGAGCAGCTCCTTGACGCAGGCGAACTGCTGGTCGCTGTAGAGGGGCGAGCTGTAGGCCCGCCGAAAGCCTGGGGGCTGGCGGGGACGAGGGGTCAGCATGTCCCCGAGTGTCCCCGGTGTCCCCGGCATCCCTGGCGTCCCGGCGGCCGCCAGCACTCACGATCTTGCCGAAGCAGCGCTGCATCTCCACGTACGACTGGCAGTGGTGGTGGATGTTGGTCTTGCAGTTCTTGCACCGCAGCCCGAACTTGTTGTTCACTGGTGGCGTTGGGGGGCAGCGGGAGAGGTGACGCGACCCCCCCACGCTGCGGCAGCGCCCGGCCCCTGTCCCCCCCGCGCTGTCCCCAGCTCCCCCCGGCACTCACGGACGATCATGCGGGCGCAAACGTCGCAGAACTTGGGCTTTTTGAAGTAGTGATCCTTGAGCTTGTGGGGCTTGTCATTGACGGGCTTGGGGGGCTCCGGGGGAGGCTCGGGCTCCTCTTCCTCCTCGTCGTCCTCCTCCTCCTCGTAGATGTAGTAGATGGGTCCCCCGGAGGGGCTGAGCAGCTCCCCGTTGGGCTGCGCCTCCGGGGCCGCCTCCTCCTTGGGCTTCCGCCGGAAAAGCTGCTTCAGCCGCTGCAGCTGCGGGGGCCGAGCGGGCTGCGTGGGGCGCCCGTCCCGCCGCCGCCCCACGGCGCCGTGGGGACAGCGCGTGACACGGGGACCCCGGGAGGAGCCCGGGCGAGTCCAGGCACCCCGTGGATGACGTGGGGCGCTGGTGGGCACCAGGCCGTGCGGGGAAGGCTCCCACTTACCCGGCTCCTGGGTTTCCCACCTGGGCCGGGCGAAGCCGCCGGCTCCGGCACCTCCTTCTCCGTCATGCTGCAAGGGCAAGACATGGAGGTGGCCTCCGCTGTCCCATGTCCGGAGCACGTCCCGGGCCGGTGCCTGCTCTGTCCTGCCCGTGCGGGGCCCTGCAGCTGCCCCAGCGCCTCCGTCCCGGCCGCTGGTGCCAAACGGTGCCGCTCGGGGCGCGGGGGAGCAAGCGCCGGCCCTGGCCCCGCTGGGCAGCCCGTGCCGACGCGCGGCCATCCCCGCAGCCCTTCCGGCAGATCCCGCTGGTTTGGGGCCACCGCAAGGGCCCCCCTTGGAAAACGGGAGCCAGCAGGGAGGGAAGGGACAACCGGGAGCGCCGGCACAGGCCCCGGTGGGACCAGCAGCGACAGGGGGGCCCAGCGGGGCCCAACAGCGCGGGGTGACACTTACACGGCGCCGGCAGCGACGTCTCCCGCCGGGACGTCCCCGCGGGGCCGGCGGTGGGAGCGGGAGCCGCGCGGGCCGCAGAGCCGCCGGCGCCGGGGCGC